AGAGCATTCAGAACCTCAGACTGGGCAGAAGGTTCTCCTTCCAACAGGACAATGACCCTAAGCACACAGCAAGAGTGGCTTATAGACAACTCTGTGAATGTCCTTGAGTGGCCCAGCCACAGCCTGAGCTTGAACCCAATCGAATATTTCTGGAGAAACCTGAAAATGTGCGTCTGCTCCATCCAACCTGACAGAGCTTGAGAGGTGAAGAGGTGAGGACAAGAATGGCAGATAATTGCCAAATTCAGATGTGCAAAGCTTGTCGCATCATACCAAAAAGACTTGAGACTGTAAAGGTGCTTCAACTAAGTACTGAGTTAAGGGTATGAATACTTATGCCATGTACTTATTTCAGCGTTTGAATTTTAATAAATTAGCAAATTTGTCACAAACCTGTTTTTTGCTTTGCCCATTATGGTGTATGGAGTGTAGATTGATGTGGGAAAAAAAGTTATTTAAAGCAGTTTAACATAAGGCTACAACATAAAACGTGAAAAAATGAAGGGGTATGAATACTTTTTATAGGCACTGTAAATGAATATATACAGAACTAAGCATATTCCAATAACATCACAACATTTCATAATTCCTCTTCACGCCTTTTATCGCAACTATATATATATATATATTTGTCACAAAACAAAACCAAAAGAAAACAAAGGACAACTACAAAATATGCATGTATGTGTTGTATTGCGCAGCATAGATTACTGTCAGGGGATGGGAATGGAGTGGATATGTTTGCGTGTATGACCAGTAGGGGTGTAACAATATTCAAACTGAACTGAAAAAACGCGATGCACCACCCACGATACATATCGCGGTACTCACACACGGAGAGCCTCGTCAGACAGCGCGTGCTGCGCAAATATAATAAAGAAACCAAGCAAAGGGTGCTCTCCATATAGCGTAACTGAACTGACCAAGCTTACTCACGCGATCACTATATACACAATCAATCACTTATTTACACTGTGTGTATGCATTTTTTCCCTCATTATAATAGGAAGATCTGCGAGCGTATAGGACTCCGTAAACTCGCCAAAAAAATTTTTTTCAGAGCAGTTGACTTCGAGCTGGTACAGAATTGAGTTGGTACTATTTACCGGATCTACACGAATCACACAAATGACCCATTTTGAATTCAAAACAGCGAATATCGCATCCCTGCATGTGTTTACATCTGAGAAAGTATGTCTACTATGGCGACAGATATGCTACTTTGGCAGACAACAGTCTGATCTTGATGGAATGTTTTCATACTATAACTTACACAAAAAACAAAAACTAAATGATCATCTGTAATTTTGTGTTTCGTCCATACATGTCAACAGACAGCCCAGAATTCCAGTCTAAATGTTTCTTAAGAACCAAATCAGCATATTAGAATGATTACTGAAAGATCGTGAAAACAGAATGGGCTGCTAAAGTGCAGCTTTGCAATGGCAAGAACTATTAAAATAGAAAACATTGATTTTTAATCGTAATAATATTTTACCATTTTACTGTTTTTTTGATCAAACAAATGCAGCTTTGTGAGCATAAGAGACTTCTTTCAAAAACACATTATAAAAAATCTTACTGACCCAAAACTTTTGAATGGAAGTGTACCATTAAACACAAATTCTGTCCTTAATACATTAGAGGTTCTGTTTAGCTCCAAGGTGTTATAATACTGACTTGTAAGATTTCTGTTAACATTTTATTTGGCCTGTATGTGTATGTGTGTGTGCATGTGTGTGTGTGAGAGAGAGAGAAAGAGAGAGTGAGTGGTCAAGTCTTTAATATATATATCTACCAAAAGTCCCAAAATATCTTTCCCACAAGGCAGAGATGGAATTTACCCTAAGATCATGTACCTCAGGAGGATCAGCAGAAGAAATGCATACAAGGAAACACAGTTTACTCTATTGATCTGTTTTTACCACTCCTCCATCCTTTGTTACTGCAATTTCTATTTTCCAGTCCCTATATTGACTAAATGGTTCCTTGTCTGGATGTAATTTATTCCCATAGTCTGTTCCAAAACATGGTAACAACATATGACTCGCCTTAAAGGGACAGTTCACCCAAAAATGAAAATTCTGTCACCATTTACTCACCCTCATGTCACTCTAACATTCTAATAATTTCATTGTGTGGACAAACACACAATGTTGAAAGATTCTTCACATATATATATATATATATACATATAAGATCATTTTAAGCTGCTAAACTCCGGGAAAGTTTTCAGTCCAATGGTCCAGTAAGCGAATGCATTCAAACAATCCGTCCAAAACAGCGCTAATATAAATGAAACCAGGCTGATTACATCAGAGATTGCAGAGAGAACAGAGACTCGCGTTGCGTTTTCAGGGAATTATTCATTCCAGTGTGTTTCGCTTTTAAATACGAGCTCTGTCATATTCTGTGATTGTCTCTGAAGAGCGCAAGCCCTCACACTAGGGCTGGGAATCGATTCCAAAAAGAATCCCATCAAGGGGAATCGACTCCTCATTCAGAGCTGTTTTCAGTTCAACAAAGCTTATCTATGGGTGACTCTCAAACGGCAGGCTGCATCCTACAAAGGCTGCATATCTCAGCTGCTACGCCATCAAACATCGCTGAACGTCAATTCACGAAAATAAACTGAATGAAAAGTTGGTACTGAGCTCGTCTGAGTTTGCAGCCTTCCGTTTTGAGAAGCACCCATTAATTTGCCTCTAGCTCACTAATAGTGTTTAGAAGTCTGATTCGTTTCCACGGAAAATAATGTGTTTTTTTAACTTTAAACCGCATAAACACATTTCATTACACCAAACACACAAAATAATGTTCTTTTTAGCAACATCATATGACCCTTTTAATGAACCAGTTCAAAAAACGATGAAAAAAACGAGGTTATTTTATGATGGAACTGGCTTTTGTCCACAATTTTGAGCGCTGCACGACAGAATAGATCATGACGTGATCGAGGGTCTTGTTCTTATTTACATCTTAAATAAAATGTTATTTTTTAACCTTTCTATCAGCCAATGATAATTCTGAAAGAAAATGCCGAGAGCACAGATCAGTGGCTGAGAACGCATCTGATTGACAGATAAACCACGAGCTCTTATTCTATCAATGTGTTGTTGTTAATGTTCTGGTTATTTTGTTTCGGTGTACAGTTTGTTAATTTTGTGCAAAGCATACAGTTTAAGTAAACTTCAATGTCTTGTTCCGTTCATGCAATAAATGTATGTCTACTGCTGAGCTGTTAGCTATGACTAATTTCATGCGCAATGCAAACAAAATTACAATTTACAATCAATCAGAGCTACAGAAATGCATCGTAATTTTTACAAATAAAGCTTCATATTATGAGAAGGCTACTTTCTACGACCTTAGTCATGGCGAAATTAGGTTCCTCCAATCTAAAAAAAACAAGAAACGAAAAAGAATCGGAAACAACAGTGAGGAATTGATTCTTGGAATCGAATCCCATTGATTCCAGAACCGGGAATCGGAATCGGACTCGATTACAAAAATTTCGGAATCGAACAGCCTTAGCTCACACGTCACACGCGCTGTGTGTAAAGTAGGCTACAGGCTGAACGGATTGTCAACATCCCACCGCTGTATGGCCAGATGAGACGCAAACTTCGTTTTCTCGACTTGATAACCAGTCTCGTTAGTAAAGTTTTGATGGATGAAGACTGCAATCAAGGTAAAGACAATTGCGGTGGCGTACAGGAGTCGTACAGTAAGCACGCGTGAGTCCATTATATTAATGCGTGTATGAGTGCTCTTGACGCACTGATCGCACATTGTATTTATGCACAGGCACAGACATTTCCGTACATTCATGTTGTTTCCACACACATTCGCGATAATATTTTGATTTGTCATGTTTATGCTGCTGAGTCATGTGTTCGCTATTGTGAATAGATCCGTATATATGCAGTCAGCAGGCGGTTGGTTTAGGATTTTTTTGGCATCACCATGTGGTCCTGTTTGGTATCGCAACTCGACTTCTCTAAAATGTAAAAAAGCAGAAGAAGTGTTCCGCAAGTCATATAGGTTTAGGATAACATAAATTGTAAAATAAATCTCTTAAAATGCTAAACAATATATTTAAGTGTAAAGATGTGCTTACCTTCCACTCATAGTCCAACTGCTTCATAGCACGACAGACCTCTTCTCTAAAATGTAAAAAAGCTATTTGCTGTTGCACTGTACACATACTATACAATAAATAAATTTTTTTTTTTTTCCCCCCGCATTTTTTTTCATTCATATGCACATATGGGCTCCTTATATCATTTGGTTCTTTGGTGTCCTTTTGGAGTCGTTTTTTGGAAAGACATCTACATTTATCTTGAAAAAAGCTTGCAGAAAATACAGATTTTTGAGAATCACCCTTCAATCTTTTGGTTTACTTTGCTGAATATAGCAAATGATGACAAAATAACCATTTGAAACAAGATAAATGGTCTATGCTTAATTTCATGAAGTGTGCGATTAATCGCGATTAATCACAGAAAAAGGATGTGATTAATCAGATTAAAAAACTTTATCGATTGACAGCCCTAATATATATATA